CAAGAAGGCAACATAATAATATTATCAGAAAGATGTTAGGAAGTAAGGACAGCTGTGTAAAGCTTGAGGCTGAAAAGTAGCTTGCCAGCTTCATTTCTTTGGCTTCTTGGGTAGTGGGCGCCGGAACAGCAAGATGTGAGGTTCTGGTTCATGGATCATATAATGGACCCATCCCTGACTCTGCTGAACGCCAAGATTCCTCCATTCAGATTCAGACATCAAATGAGTTTTAGGGACCAGCTTGGCTATGTCCTTGGGCAGCATGACATGTCGATACTCAAACTCCTCGTCGTCGTATTTGTCCGAATAGTAAATCTGTTTGTGCGACATGATCGCTCGGTTTGTTAGCCTTCAGCCCCGTGCCGCCAACCTCCAAGCAACTCTAAAATCCTTATTCTTGTTTCTTGTTTTATATCATCTTTTCCTTGTATTTTTAGTTATGTTATTTTGCTGTAGTTTATGTATCTTTGTAAGCTGTTTTTATGAGGTGTGGTGTGATTATACAATGTCAAACAGTTCTTCTAAAAACATGTTTTTAAATTATCACACTATTACAAATGCATCTTGTGAAAGATTCAAATATGAAAAGTTAAAGCTCTGTTGGACTTAATACAACTGCATACACTTGTCAAAACTCATTGAATTATCCATTTAAAATTGTAATTTTATTGTAAGGAAATTATGTCACAATAAAACTGATTTTTTTTTTTTTTTTGGAGCTGTAGTCTCGCTCTGTCGCCTAGGCTGGAGTGCAATGGCGCGATCTTGGCTCACTGCAACCTCCACCTCCTGGGTTCAAGCGATTCTCCTGCCTCAGTCTCCCGAGTAGCTGGGACTACAGGCACACACCACCATGCCCAGCTAATTTTTGTATTTTAGTAGAGATGAGGTTTCACCATATTGGCCAGGCTGGTCTTGAACTCCTGACCTTGTGATCCACCTGCCTTGGTCCCCCAAAGTGCTGGGATTACACGCATGAGCCACCACGCCCGGCCAATACAATTTTTTCAAAAAGTTAAAGTCCTCTTTCCTCCATAGTCTATCCGTATTTCAGCATTTCAATAACTCTGAAAACCCTCCTAAAGTCTCCTGATGCAATTTCCTTTAAAAGACACACTCACTCAGAGCTTAGCCTTCAATGAAGAGAAAAGAGCTGCCAGTCCACACTTTTGCATTATCCTTCTGTGCAATCCACACCAGTCACCAAACTTCCAACTTTCATCAGCTTTGGTTGCTCTCCAAAGACCTTTCTCAAATTCTCTCTAACAAGCTTCAGGGATGGGACCAGACAAACTTCTTCCCCAAACAGAGATCTGGGTTTCCTTCCTCCTGCCACTATTCCTTCTTGCAGAATTTAGTATCATGTATTTAGTATCATACCACAGGACTTCTGAGCTGGCAAGGAAGGCAGACTTTTCTCTATGGCTGAGGGACTGTGTGCCTAATGAGAATGAGCATAAGAAAAACTCACTGCAGATACAAGGTATTTTAACATACATATGTTATCAACAGAGAGAAAAGCACTATGTGGAAAATGTGATAAATGAAAATCTTTCATTCTGTAGGCATTTCTTTCTAAAAAGACAGCATTTTAGAGAAAGGTTAGCATTTCATAAAACTTGTATTTCTGTAATCTAGGGGAGTTATGCCTGATTTTCCTTCATATGAGAGCTATTTCTCTAAAGTGCCAGGTATTTTACTCAATACGACATTATTCTGAATGATTTTAGGTGACATTTTCTGTTCAAGGACATAACAATTTAGGAATAGATTTTCTCTCCCTGCCCTCATGTAGGAACTGGTATCTGGTGAACTCCAGACAGAGGCAGTGTTCTCACAGTATATGGATTACCTGCATCAGAATCACACTATGGTTCCCAGTCTTGCTGAATCAGAATTTCTTGCTGTGAGCCCCAGGAATGGGATGTACATTTTAAATGTGTACTGTGTGTGATTCTTGGGTACATTAAAGTTTGAGGACCACTAACTTACACTATTCAAATTAATATGATCTGGCTGGGTGTGGTGGCTCA